GGTAGACCGTTGCTTTTCACATCACGAAAGGCTAGGTTTCTAGTTTGCCTAGGTGGGCATTATAAAACCCTAATATCCAGGACTTTTATTATCCTATGAACACACCCGCCACTTCTCGCGTCATCCTCAATTGACTGGCAAACGAATAGTATGACTTTGAACAGTACGAATAGTTGAGTACTCTCCGATGTTATTTTCTTTTTTAGACATTGCATTCCTCCTTGGTTGCCACTAGACCGATTTATCCTTGCGATTTCAAATCAAAATAAAGGGTGATACGGTCAAAATTTGGTCAAGGGAAAACGCGTGTAAATCGGTGGAATCGTTTATTTAAAAAATCAAATTAAATTTCTTTTTCAAGTTCAATTAGTATAAAATTCAGGAAAAATATTCAGTTAGGCTTCCGCTTTTCCAAATCCGAATTGCCGGGCCTTACGCTTGACCCCTGCCATCAGATTTTGTACAGCCACCTTGTCCACCTTCTTCGCCGCAGAAAGCCAGTTTGCCTTGAACTGCTGCTCGCCCTTAGCAGTTTTTTTGGTCTTCTTTAGGTTTCGCTTGACAATAACCCAGTATTTCTCAATTGGGCGGAGCTCTGGCGTGTTGGGAGGGTTCTTGTCCTTGGGAACCACCTGCACGTTGTTGGCGGCGTACCACTCCATGGCCTTTTTACCGTAATGGCAAGATGCCAAATCCGGCCAAAACAGTACGGAACAACCGTGTTTCTTCAGGAAAGGCAGCAGACGTTTATTCAAACACTCTTTCACGTAAATTTCTTGGTTTACAGTCCCGGAAGCTATGAAAATGCTGCTTTTCAAGCCACAGGTACAGATGGCTTGCCAAACCAGATATTTCTTTGCGAACTTTGACAGTTTCATGTGCTTGAAAACATCTGCTACCTTTCCCCTTCCTTTTGCCGTATAAAACTCCTGTCCCGGAAGCTGCTTGTAGTCGGCTTTGACGTAGGTTTCGTCGTCCATTACCACGCAGTCAAACTTCGTCAGCATCGTCGTGTACAGCCTCCGGGATCGCGCTTTGGCCGTCGTATTTTGTTTATCATCGCGATTTGGAGTCACTACCTTCTTGTAAGTCGATAGTCCGGCTCGTTTTTTGGCTCGATGCACGGTTGTAGACGATACACCCAGCTTATTTGCGGCATCTCGGAGAGAGAGGTTAGGGTTTCGCTTGAAACTACCGGCAACTCTCTTTGTCGTCTCAGCGGCTTCCGGTTTTCGATTTCCCCCCGATCCAGACTTCCTGGCTGTCGACAAACGTTCCCCAAACACTTTAATTACATTTGTAACGGTTGATTTGGCAACTTTTAGCGATTTTGCCAACTTTGCGTGCGAGTAGCTCGGATTTTCGCGATGCGCGAGCAAAATTTTGATACGCTGCTCTTCTTGCTTGGACGGCATTTTGACAACTGAAGAGTGAATTCCAAAATCAAAATAGGAGCAACATTCTACACACACACACCTTCAAAATGAGGGGTGTTCAGGTTTTTTAAATGCAAAATTGAAAGAAATACGTCAAGTTGATATTGACCAAATTTTGACCGTATCACCCTTTATTCAAGTTGTCAGAAATACCGGGTTGCCGGGTTGGTTGTTTTACAAACAATCGCAGCTTGCTCTATGACCGGCACAATCGACACACTGATAAAAAAGATGACCCAAGATTGGTGTGCGGAGTGACCTACCCCTTGGCTATGATGTTTTTTTTTTCTATATTGTAGCATAAAATTCAAGGTAAAATTGTAATTTTACCGTTTTTACTGAACTTTCAATGTTATTATTCACTGACTACATTAAAAATAGTATTGCTCTAAACAATTAAAATAATAATCTGTCGAACTTCAACTTTCTCAAAATGGTGTATATTTTTACATTGGTCTATTTGAAAAGTGAAGCGAGACTTCTTCTATTTCTCTTATCTCAAATCTCGATGAACATTTCAAATGGTCCTATCTGCTTTGATCGATTCTCTTCATCGACTTTCTCTTTCATCAATAACTCAGCTGCAAAACCTTTCCCAGTTGTATTTGACGTTTTGGACGCTAGATAAGAACCTCCTTTATCAAACTATGTGGTAGAATTAACGCGAAATCTGTTTGCATAGCAGTGGTTATGAAAAGAGAAAGTCGATGAAGAGAATCGATCAAAGCAGATAGGACCATTTGAAATGTTCATCGAGAAATCGTTTATTTTGCTGTGCTGGGCTCGCTGTAACGGTATAACTAAAGAGCCTGAATTTATAAAGAGACGATATGTCAAAATTGAAACAATAGACTGTCTGTCAAAGTTAAAGAGCCTAAATTTATAAAGAGGCGACATGTCAAAATTGGAACAATGGATTGTATGTCAAAATCATAGGAAAAGTCATTCCAATCGAGCAGAAGATCTGTCAAATGGATAATATGTCATTTCTTTATAATTTCAGGCTCTTTAGTCAAAGTCATAGGAAAAGTCATTCCAATCGAGCAGAAGACCTGTCAAATGTATAAGATGTCGCCTCTTTATAAATTCAGGCTCTTTAGGTATAACATGTTGCTTACGCGCCTTCCACTGGGCTGATTTTATGAGACGTTTCTGATCAGCTGAATTTTCAATTTATGAATGAACTTTGACAGGAGGCAGTAGCCTAGTCGTTATCAGAAACAACATTAATATCAAACTCTGTCAGGCAGGCTCCTGTTATTAAAATAGACTCTGGAGTTACGTGATGAACTAACCTACGACTAAAAATAACGATAATAAAGAAAAAATGGACTATGTGATGTGTTATCAACGTTCTCCTGTTGTATAAATGATTGACGGAGTGTGACGTTAAACTCCGTCATACATTTAAACAACAGGCGAACAAAAGAGCCGACAAATTCATATCACCTCACCTGTTTACATCACATTGGGCTCAAAAGCTCAGATGCTGCACTCCTGCTCGAACTCCAGCACCACAATACCGAATATTTTCGGTGTCTAATGGGACATGAAAAAGTCGACAGTGAGCATGCATAATGGCATAAACGCAACGATCGATTTTCTCTTTTGTTAATAACTCGCTAGATTCAACGTTTCTCGGTGCGTTTGCTGTTGCTTTTGGTAGCCAATACAACCTGTTACAACTCTGCATTGAACACATTCTAGAAGATTGTTTCGCTTAGCTGTAGCAATGCAAAGAGGAAATCGATGAAGAGAATCGATCATCGCGTATACGCTCTTATGCATGCTCACTATCGAAGGGTTCTCACCGAATTTAAGTGAGCGATATTTTCATGGTTTGGATGAGAGAAATAATTGTTGAAGAATGAGAGATGAAAATAATATAGTCTATCTTCAGCTCTGTGAAAAGCTGCTCGAGTGATGCGTCACTTATCTTGCAGCTGAGCGAGAATTTCGATCGCTGTAAATAAAGTCCTCTTAGGTATGTTTTCGAATGCTCATGTGATTTGAGTTGTCGCATTAACGGGTTTGACCAAGTCAGAAGCTGCACCCGGAACATGTCCGGGTCTAGCAGATATGATCCTGGACACTCGGTAAGCCTACAGTTGAACCTACTTTCGACTATTGATGTGATTTGAGCTAGCGAATGTTTAGCACGATTCAGATAATCTTTAGTCTAGTTAGAAAGAGAGATACCTCCGGAACACGTTGATCGATTCCAAACATATTCAATAGCGTCTAATGCGATCATAGTACCTTTCATTTGACTGTTGTTGCGTACAATTTGGCTCAATAGTTGCCGAGAAACACACACAGATATGTTCTGATCTGTATGTAAGAAGAGTAAAACTTATGGTGACCACTCCAATTCCGACACCCCTACTTATGGATGGATATGAAAATTGCATCTAAGTTTCACATACCACTAACGATAGCGAAAATTTTAGTACAGTTTTAGTACACTAGTACCAGGAAACCAGCTCGTATGAATTGGCCTGCTTATAAATGTGCTGGTTCATAGTGCTGATTAATCAAAATGGGCGTAATCCGATCAAGTTTGTGCCAGAAATTGATGTTAATTAGTAGAGAAAAACTTCCATTTAATTCCACTACCTTATTTGCTTATCCTTAGCAGATACGCGTATTTCGTATACAATGCGCAGACTTCTTCAGTATCTTGTACTAAAATTCAGTGATGGCCAAAGTGCGGCCCACGGGCCGCACATGGTGCTTGGATCTCTATGATGCAGCAACTTCAGCTTGAATTTCTTTGTTTATTTCGAATGCATGGCCGAAATGTTTAGGAAATACGCAAAATTCAACTTAAAATATAACCATCGAACAAAGATACAGCTATTGAAAAAATGGGCCTGAGCACCACTGTAACTAATTAGTCGAGTATTAGTACAAGACACTGAAGAAATCTGAACATTGTAGAAGAAATACGCGTATCTGTCAAGGATAAGCAAATAAGGTAGTGTACCATAATTGTACTAAAAAGTAGTCAGCATAATGTAAACAGGACGTCAGCATCTACCAGCATGAGCTTTCAGGAGCAACTGAAATTTGTGGAATTTATTTATCAGGCAAAAGCGTGTCTTTGAAATCAACCTGTTCCATGCAGCATGTTGATCAAGTTTAAAATGCAAAACATTTAAAGGCATGAATGTCGACACATTCCATCATTAAAAACAATTATTATTGCATTCTTACGAAAGGAATGATTCAGCCTTGACCTCTTCTGGTAAACAGCCATCGAGTCGGTATTGGGACAATATGTTTCACTTTCGCTAATCTACCCCATAAATATTAGTCGACAGTTAAGTCAATGGAAGACAAACGACTTCACAATGCTGCACTGATAACACAAATCACAAAAACCAAACAAAGTACTTTACCACTGCTCACGAGAGTGGAAGTAAGTGGAAAGCAAAATCTGATTCTGTCGATCGTCGTTCGTTTGATGAATGACGTAAACAAGAGCAATACTCTTACGTAGTTCAACCTTCTCTGGAACATACGATCTCTCCGATGACTGCCCCTTCAACCAACCGCACTTACCTTCATTCCCAGCTGGGCAGCCTTGATGGAGGCGACGTATCCGCCGGGACCGGAACCGATCACCACCAGATCGGCGTCCTGTGTCGTCGAGTAGAATCGACCGTACAGCACTCCCTGAATAGCTCCATGATTGCGCAGGCCAGCGGCGGCATTGCCCTACATCACACATAGAGAGAGAGAGATAAACATCGTTTACATATTATCCGACGTGTCCTTTATTTGTTGCAAAATTCGATACGGTACGCGAAGACCAATCATGCACTCGTTCACAGTAGCTTCTGTTAAAGCTTTTTTGCCTTCATTTTTCCTATCTTGTCTTGTTGCATAATCGATTTTGCTCCCACATCCGATGAAGGCGGGGATCGAAACGGAATGACACTAACCTTGGCAGCCAGATTTACCAAATGCCGAATATTGGACTGCATTTTGTTCTTCTTAGAGCAGGGGGCAGAAGCAGGTAATCCGGTTGATTACAGCAGATTTCGAAGGAACCGGAAGAATCGGACAGCAATCGTAGGGAATGATTTCTCTTCAGAGGCAGAGCACTACCAGCACTTCCAGAAACACACACACCGCGCCTGTCGTCTGTCTGTATTCGCTGATTTTCGGGTCGAAACTCGGACTTTTTCTTTCGTTTTGCACACACGTTTGACGTTTGAACTGCTGGTGTTCAGTGTTGCTAACTTTTCATGTGGCACGATCCGTAGATAGGTAAATATGTTTCCAGAGCGTTAAAACTTAATGACCAAAAACAGTTATTAAAAAGTATAAATTTTTAAAATGATGTGGAAAATTTTTAAGAATGCACACGGCGAATGAGAACGACTCAAATTTGAGATTAGTTCACTCATAATCGCCAAAAGTGCAGGAACTCAGCGATGAGTTAATTTGCCTCATGTTTTCCCAGGTTTTTCCAGTGAAAAATTCTCGAATTTGAGAAAAGTAAAGATTGGATTCACTCAGTCTATTAGTACTACTCCGAGACTGAATAATATTTTCGTTAATTCCCTCATTTTCCGGCAGATTTTTTAAGTTTTTCACTGGAAACCATGGGACAAATTTTACTCATTGCTGAGTTCCTGCACTTTTGGCGATTATGAGTGAACTAAACTCAAATTTGGGTTGTTCTCATTCGCCGTGCATAGCACTTTTGAAAAAATCCCGCAAAATCTGGGAAATCCGTAGTAAATCTTAAAATCCGTATAACTTCAAATAAACCTGTAGAACTGACCACACTGCGTGTTTCGTCGAAACGGATGACGGGAGAACGGAGAGAAAGAAGGAAAAACACCGCGCGGGTGACGTTAACGGTTGGGGGATAGGACAGGTTATATTTTTGTAACATCAAGTCTAGGGAATTGGTGCGGTGCACCGTCTTTTGTTTACACCTACACTCAAAAATATAACTGATCGGAAATAGAATAAAATTTATGCTTCTGTTTATTAAGCTTCGTACACAGCAAAAAAAATGTAATATCGATCAACGTAATTCAAGCTGATGTATGAAATAATGATGTGATAGAAAAAAGCAGATACAATATTACATCAATGGATGTAATTTTGTTCGCAAAATCGATGTACATCGTACACAGAAAAAAAAGTTGTTGAATATTACATCCAAACTGCTGCAACCAGGTCAATCCATCGGTTGTGTAATATAACGTTGTACGATGTACATCGATTTTGCGAACAAAATTACATCCATTGATGTAATATTGTATCTGCTTTTTGCTATTACATCATTATTTCATACATCAGCTTGAATTACATTGATCGATATTACATTTTTTTTTGCTGTGTACAATGTGATATTGCACAACCGATAGATTGACCTGGTTGCAGCAGTTTCGATGTAATATTCAACAGCTTTTTTTGCTGTGTATACCCATCTCTATGATTAAAAAGTAATCAATTTAAATTTCTATTTATACATGACATCGAATAACTTGTTTTAATGCTACTTATGGCATTGAAAAGGTTTCGGTGATTACATTTTGCGATAAATGTCTAGTACAATTATTTTACCTGTGGAAAGAAAACTTGCAGTAAGTATGATTAGTTATTATAAAATAGCACTGTTCGATTCAGGAATATTTATTTGTAGCGTTGATGTGCTTTCCCCCCGTTGAAAATGAATCAACCGGCCCGGTTCCGTCTGGAAGCATTTCGCAGACTAGTCCAGTACTTTTTTGGAATACAGTCAACTGCAGAACCAGAACTTAGAATCCGCATTGCAGGAAGAGGAAACCATGAAGGAGCACAAGCTGGACAGTCCTTTGGGGAGCAACCTACATGGAGAGTAAGCAGTCGTACAAATGTTCCTTCAACAGTACCTACCCGTAAGTGTTTCTTAGGTCTTCACTGAATTCCCCTATATTCTTCGAGTTTCCTTAATGTTAATACCAAAATATGTTGCTATTATTTGATTTCAGATGGTGCCGTCCAATTTCGGAAATCTTTAACAGCTGAAAAGCAGTTAAAACCACAACTAACAAAACAAAACCCTGGAAAACATAATTCTTTGCCAAGATTATAGAACTTGCCACCATCAACCATCTGGAGATGATCTGGAGGCAGTCCAATTACGTCGCTGTTGCTATTCACGATGAAAGAGAATCAACTAGATTAGCCCTAACATATGTTTATAAACAGCCGAGTGACCTTCATTTCAGTTTTGCATGCTGCAGCAAAAATAATATTGTACATTTATGCAAATCTAAATAAACTCTTAGAATGATTGTCATTTTAATTTTATTCAAACATCTGAAATCCATTTATAAATGAAATCAAAACAAAATCACCTCTCTACCAACACAATGAATAAATCTCCTTTAAACATTGCATGTATAAAGTTCAAAAATACACATTCTCGTGTAAACCATTTTTATACTAAGTGTGTATTCTCTTTCTTTATACAAAGCTATGCGTCGGTCAGGAGAGTTGTGAATTAGCGTAGCTTTTAATCTATTTAGATTTGAATATCTTTTGAGTATACATACTTACCTTACCTTACCAATCAGGCTAAGGCCTTGTTGTCCTCTGCTGTCCGAAGAAGTCGTCTCCACTCTACTCGATCCATGGCCACAGTTCGCCAGCCTCGTAGTCTGCGAAGGGTCCGCAGGTCACCTTCTACTTGGTCGATCCACCTTGCCCGCTGCGCGCCTCTTCTTCTTGTTCCTGCGTCTTTGAATTTCTCTGCTGGTATCATTTTCGGCGGTCACCAGTGAGCCCAAATACACGAACTCATCGACCACCTCGATTTCGTCACCGTCAATCTGAACTCGGGGTGGGAGGCTAACATTGTCTTCCCTAGAACCTCTTGCTTTCATATATTTTGTCTTTGATGCGTTGATGGCAAGTCCAATCCGTCTAGCTTCAGCCTTCAGTCTGATGTACGTTTCCGCCATCATCTCAAAGTTCCGTGCCATAATGTCAATGTCATCGGCGAAACCAAGGAGCTGGATGGACTTCCTGAATATCGTGCCACTCGTGTCTATCCCAGCTCTTCTGATCACATCTTCTAACGCGATGTTGAACAGCAGACACGAAAGTCCATCACCCTGCCGTAACCCCCTTCGAGATTCAAAGGGACTCGAGAGTGTCCCCGATACTCGAACAACGCACGTCACTCGATCCATCGTCGCCTTGACCAATCGCGTCAGTTTATCCGGAAATCCGTACTCGTGCATGTCGTATGCGGATTTGAAATCGATGAACAAATGATGTGTGGGCACGTTGTATTCGCGGCATTTCTGCAGAACCTGCCGAATCGCGAAAATTTGGTCCGTGGTAGCGCGGGCACCCATGAATCCCGCCTGGTATTGCCCCACGAACTCTCTTGCATATGGTGACAGACGGCGGCATAGAATTTGGGAGAGTACCTTGTAGGCGGCGCTCAGCAGTGTGATCGCGCGGTAGTTGCAGCAATCCAACTTGTCGCCCTTTTTGTAGATTGGGCATACGACACCTTCCATCCACTCCTCCGGTAATATCTCCTCCTCCCAAATCTTGGCAATTACCCAGTGCAGCGCTCTAGCCAGTGCTTCACCACCGTATTTCAATAGCTCACTTGGTAGTTGATCTACACCAGTTGCTTTGTTGTTCTTCAGCCGACCGATCTCCTCCTCAACTTCTTGAAGATCAGGGGCCGGTAGCCTGTCGTCTTCTGCGCGTGCTCCAAGGTCTGTTGCCGTGCCACCTTCGTTTTCTGCTGCTTCACCGTTGAGGTGCTCGTCATAGTACTGCTTCCACCTCTCAATCACCTCACACTCGTTCGTGAGAAGGTTACCGTCCAAGTCCTTGCACATATCGGCTTGCGGCACGTAGCCTTTGCGCGAACTATTTAGCTTCTCGTAGAACTTCCGTGTGTCGTTTACGCGGTACAGATTTTCCATCGCCTCGCGATCTCGATCTTCCTGCTGACGCTTCTTCCTTCGGAAAACCGAGTTTTGTCTGTTCCGCGCTTGTCTGTATCGCTCCACATTCAATCTCGTGCGGTGTTGCAGCATTCTCGCCCGTGCTGCATTCTTCTCCTCTACTAACAGTTTGCATTCGCCGTCAAACCAGTCATTTCTTCGGTCCGGGATTGCAGTACCTAGTGCCGCTACAGCAGTACTACCTATGGCTGAACGGATGTCCCTCCAGCCATCTTCAAGAGAAGTTGCGCCAAGCTGCTCTTCCGTGGGTAGTGCAACTTCCAGCTGCTGCGCGTAGTCCTGGGCAACTCCGGTGTCCCGTAGTTGCTCAATGTTGGGTCGTGGCGTTCGACTTCGACGTGTGTTATGCACCGTCGAGAGTTTTGAGCGCATGCATACTGCAACTAGGTTGTGGTCCGAATCTATGTTCGCACTGCGGTACGTGCGGACGTTAATAATGACGGAGAAGAATTTCCCGTCGATTAGAACGTGATCGATTTGGTTTTCTGTGTGTTGGTCAGGTGATCTCCAGGTGGCTTTGTGAATATCCTTGCGGGGGGAAAAGGTACTTCGAACTACCATACCCCGAGAGGCTGCAAAGTTCACGCATCGTTGGCCGTTGTCGTTCGATACGGCATGCAGGCTGTTTGGCACGATTGCCGGTCTATACATTGCCTCCCGTCCTACCTGAGCGTTAATGTCGCCGATGACGATTTTGACGTCCCGTTGCGAACAGCCGTCGTACACCTGCTCCAGCTGCGCATAGAATGCTTCTTTCTCGTCGTCGGGTCTCCCTTCGTGTGGGCAGTGCACGTTGATGATGCTGTAGTTGAAGAAACGGCCCTCAATCCTCAACTTGCACATCCTCGCGTTGATCGGCTGCCAACCAATCACGCGTTGACGCACTACACCCAGCACTACAAAGCCGGTTCCCAGCTCGTTGGTGGTGCCACAGCTCTGGTAGAAAGTAGCCGCTCGATGACAGGTTTTCCATACCTTTTGTCCCGTCCAGCAAAGTTCCTGCAGTGCTACGATTTCGAAGTTGCGTGGTTGAAGTTCGTCATAGATTAACCTATCGCAACCCGGAAAGCCGAGCGATTTTCAGTTCCATGTTCCGAGTTTCCAATCGTAGTCCTTATTTCGTCGCGTAGGTCTGTGCCGATTGTTCCGATCCGTATTTCTTTCTTCGGTATTTGCAACTTTGTTTTTTTCCAGAGCGGCTTGTTGGGCCTGCCCCAACCCCCTGTCTCGCTGGTGGACCATCGTGCACAGCTCTGTTTAGAGTCCCACGCTGGCACTAGGATGGTGATCAGCCGCTCCTAACATGGAGAATAGACGCCGTTTTGAGCCGCACCTCCATGGTGAACAGACGCTCGGGTTTGGTGAAGCATTTCCTCTATCACCGTACTATGGTTACCGCGCCAGTGTTCGCGTCGCACCTCTTTACTTTGCTATTGCCGGACTGGCAACATTGCCCAGGCTACGCCAACCAGCTGTGTCCATGTTTCAGCTGGTAGTCTTTTGTTATCATATGACTCGAGGAGGCGTGAAGTAGGAACTTGTGAGGACCAGGGCTAGGTATTCCGCTCCTTCCAGGTTGTCAACTCACCATTTTGTAGCCCATACATGAGTATACATACGACACCAAAAAAAAAAGCCAGCGCCGGTGGTGTAGTGGTAAGCGTGACTGCTTTCTCACCCCAATGGGTCTGGGTTCAATCACCTACTTTCCAAGCATCTGGAAGGTGGCAAAAATCACCCCGATCCGCAAACCTGGGAAAGACCCTTCACTACCGTCAAGATACAGACCGATTAGCCTGCTCTCAGCGCTGAGCAAGCTGTTCGAAAAATTGATCCTCAGCCGACTGAACAAGTTTGTTTGTTTATTAATTTATTTGATAAGGCTCAACCGAATTAACTTTACAGAGCCGAGGATTCTTGGTCACTATACAATACATCTTAAAACTATTGTCAAAAGGTACAACACAATAAACACTTTATCTTCCGCTATCCAAAAAGCCTCCTCCATCAGAACTGGAGCCGCTTCCAGTGGTTTCATTGTATGGCAAATTGTTGTACGCCAACGAGGGTCAGAGCGCGTCCATTGCAGCAATGGACGCAAAACGTGGTCAGCACTCACACACTCATCACGAAACGGTTGCTTTCCAAAGTCGACGACGCATCGACCGAAAGAACTGCTGATGAAGAACAATGAGGAGGACCACACAATGGTTGCTGCCGAGAAAACAGACGATCGCGCAGCACACATCGAGAGTGGCCTGCTTTTGTCGACAGCCGAGTGAACACTGTGAACAAGTTTGTGAACATGACATTCTTCTTCCGGAACAGTTCGGGTTCCGTAAGGGGCATTCCACCAATCATCAGATGGTGCGGGTGATGAATAACATCCGAAGTAACAAAGCTGTATCCAAGTCCACAGCCGCCATGGCCTTGTTAGTCGTCGAAAAGGCGTTTGACAATGTCTGGCACGACGGACTTATATACAAGCTTTGTAACTCCAACATTCCACCATACCTTGTGAAAATCACCCGTAGCTATCTCCAGCAGTGGTCGTTCAGGGTGTCGTTGAATAGTTCCCTTTCGGGACAATTTCCGATCCCAGCAGGTGTTCCGCAAGGGAGTCTGCTGGGACCACTGCTTTACAGCATCTACACGTCGGACATCCCTCCTCTAGGAGACGGTTGCGTGTTCTTCCTGTTCGCAGATGACACCGCGATAGCCGTCAAGGGTAGGATGCCTCGTGAAATTACGAACAAGCTCCAACGATGCCTTGACACCTTTACTGATTATGCCACCACGTGGAAAATCAAAATCAACGCCTCGAAAACCCAAGCGATCATGTTCCTTCACAGACAATCGCCAAAACTTAAACCTTCTTCCTCCTGTACCGTAATAATGGATGGTACAAGGGTCGAGTGGTCCACTGATGTTACTTATCTCGGGATGTTGTTCGATGAGAAGCTTCTGTTCCGCTCGCACATAGAGAAAACCCTCCGCCTTGGTTAGGTGTTTGTATCCGCTCATTTGCCGCAGATCCCGCCTCTCAAGGCAAAACAAACTGGCTGTCTACAAACATATCATAGCCCCCACGATCTTCTATGCCGCCCCGGTGTGGGAATCGTGCGCTCAGACCCAAATCCAGGTTGCACAGAATAGAGTGTTGAGGATGATCCTAGATCGTCCATTCGACACAAGAATAGCAGACCTCCATCAAGAGGCAGAAATTCCCAAAGTAGATTCCAAAGTTGAGGATATGACAACCAAATTTATCCAAAAATGCAATCTTTCTGAACATGATTTACTAAGCAATTTGTACATAGTAGGTTAAGTGTATATAGTAGAGTAGGTTAGTTTTAAGCTGTAAATAGTAGTATTAAGTAGTTTCTCTTCAAATTCTAAAAACAAAACAAACCAATCCCACCAAGGTGGTCGACCGTGTACTAAGTCTAGGACTAATTCTGTAAAACAAAATTCGAGTAGTTAAAAAATGTCACATCTCTGAATTTGGTGTGATTGTTTTGATAAAAAAGAGCACAAAATTTAATAACCACCGAGGGGGCAGCAAAACCACAAAATTACCTACCTTGTATACGGACACTAGAATAGAAAGTTTTTCTTCAGACTATTTCATCTTAGTATTCTTCTTTGGATTAAGTGTGTAACAGTAATCAATTCGTTTTTGTTTGCTAATCTGGTTAAATGTTATACTTATTTATCTAAAAGATAAATCTTCCAGCTCAAATCTTTGTAGGGGTAAGTGGTGGGACCATAATCATCACTATCAATAACCTTTTTTTTCAGTAAAGGGTGATACGGTCAAAATTTGGTCAATATCAACTTGACGTATTTCTTTCAATTTTGCATTTAAAAAACCTGAACACCCCTCATTTTGAAGGTGTGTGTGTGTAGAATGTTGCTCCTATTTTGATTTTGGAATTCACTCTTCAGTTGTCAAAATGCCGTCCAAGCAAGAAGAGCAGCGTATCAAAATTTTGCTCGCGCATCGCGAAAATCCGAGCTACTCGCACGCAAAGTTGGCAAAATCGCTAAAAGTTGCCAAATCAACCGTTACAAATGTAATTAAAGTGTTTGGGGAACGTTTGTCGACAGCCAGGAAGTCTGGATCGGGGGGAAATCGAAAACCGGAAGCCGCTGAGACGACAAAGAGAGTTGCCGGTAGTTTCAAGCGAAACCCTAACCTCTCTCTCCGAGATGCCGCAAATAAGCTGGGTGTATCGTCTACAACCGTGCATCGAGCCAAAAAACGAGCCGGACTATCGACTTACAAGAAGGTAGTGACTCCAAATCGCGATGATAAACAAAATACGACGGCCAAAGCGCGATCCCGGAGGCTGTACACGACGATGCTGACGAAGTTTGACTGCGTGGTAATGGACGACGAAACCTACGTCAAAGCCGACTACAAGCAGCTTCCGGGACAGGAGTTTTATACGGCAAAAGGAAGGGGAAAGGTAGCAGATGTTTTCAAGCACATGAAACTGTCAAAGTTCGCAAAGAAATATCTGGTTTGGCAAGCCATCTGTACCTGTGGCTTGAAAAGCAGCATTTTCATAGCTTCCGGGACTGTCAACCAAGAAATTTACGTGAAAGAGTGTTTGAATAAACGTCTGCTGTCTTTCCTGAAGAAACACGGTTGTTCCGTACTGTTTTGGCCGGATTTGGCATCTTGCCATTACGGTAAAAAGGCCATGGAGTGGTACGCCGCCAACAACGTGCAGGTGGTTCCCAAGGACAAGAACCCTCCCAACACGCCAGAGCTCCGCCCAATTGAGAAATACTGGGCTATTGTCAAGCGGAACCTAAAGAAGACCACAAAAACTGCTAAGGGCGAGCAGCAGTTCAAGGCAAACTGGCTTTCTGCGGCGAAGAAGGTGGACAAGGTGGCTGTACAAAATCTGATGGCAGGGGTCAAGCGTAAGGCCCGGCAATTCGGATTTGGAAAAGCGGAAGCCTAACTGAATATTTTTCCTGAATTTTATACTAATTGAACTTGAAAAAGAAATTTAATTTGATTTTTTAAATAAACTATTTCACCGATTTACACGCGTTTTCCCTTGACCAAATTTTGACCGTATCACCCTTTATTCGTCAGATTAGTATCTGGTATGCTTTCCCAAGAAACAATGAAAGGTGATTTGTTGCGTTGCCTCCTTATTTCAAGAGCTAAATTGACCTGAAAACGAACTGACACCACTGATAAGTTCGAAATGTGCTGACTTGCTTAACGCTTCAGTGGCGCCACCATGATAAATGCGAGCACATTCCGAACTGAAACCTTGCTTGCGAAGAATGTGATTGTGAGTGTTATGTCTGTTTGTCTGCGATATAATGATGAGACAAATTTGGAATCCAAGGGGACAAAGCATGACTATATCACAGACAAACAGACATAGCTCATTGAATATGTTTCACTATAACAACTACTAAAACACTACTGCCATCTGCTGAGTACACTGTCGTGGGCAGTAAGGTCAATAAATAGCTGTTGTGTGAGAACGTAAAACGCAATGGAACTATGAAACATTTAAATTGACCGTTAAATGCGTGTTCGATGGATCGTATACAAGAGTTATGTCGGCTTGTCTGTGACTGATGATAATGCTAAACGATTAAAGTGTCAGTGTCATCAAAGGGTTATTAATGCATCAAGGAAGTTAAAACACCGTCCGATTGAGTTTTAAAATATATATATTTTCATTAATTTGAATTTATAATACTTCTGAAATTTGCTCTTATACCACTTTCTGTTCATGTACAACGTTTGTAATTGTATTTTGAGTTCTTAATTTGCCTATGTATGCGATTCCAGTACTGTGTGTGGGTAGTGGTTTGCGTTTTCCTTGCTGTGTTTTGAACGTTTCTACTTGGACACTTTCGGGCTGTGCTTTATCGCAAGTAGCACTGCAAGTTTTATCGACGCATTCTACAAGTCTGAATCATGGTCTGTAGAACTCTCATAAAACCCGCATTGTTACTTGAGATGTGTCATGTTTGGTTGCAGCGCGTACGGACTGGAACAATCTGTAGTTGTTGTTTCCTCTCTCAAAACTGGCTTAAATTTAAGACGAATGTTGCGAAATGCATCGTACGATTTCAAATGACATGTTTTTTTTTATTTCTGTGAGAATAGAATCTGAGAGTACGATTTGTGATGGCGATGGGATGTGGTTTGTGGTTTCAAAATGGGGGCAACTTTTTGCTGATGATAAATTTTACACATTTGCTTGGCTTATGCTTAGTTGTAATTGTTTTTTTTTCTTTTTTGAAAAATGTGTAATAATATTCTCCTTTTGCTAATCGATTCATTTTGTACATATACGCGTAAACCTTCACAAAGTAAAAGTTTCACTTGTTTAGTTACATTATTTTACGAAAATTTTAATACAATTTACTCTTTGACGACAACTGGAAGAGTGGAAAAAATTTGAAACATTTTGTTGGCTATAAATGTTTGTTGTCACGTTTGCTATAATTATTTTATGGCAAGGATGACGTTTCGTCTCGATAATGTGTGTTTTACGATATAGGAATGATATGGTTTGCCTCTTTTGTTTAGCGGGAATGGATCGGGATGTAGGATAACAAATATGGCTGACGCGTTGTTTGTAGAAGATGTTAAATGTTGATCATGGAATCATGGCACTAGCGGGATAGGGTATGAAAAGCAGTGGAAAATCGAAGGAGGTGTGTGTTCTTCAGCAGGAATTGTTCCGGATTGGCACATGGAGATTATGGCGCTGGGAGGTTTTGTAAAGTGTAGAATTTGTAGCTTTTCTTTTGTTTTGGCACATGACTTCACAAGTACATTCTAAGCCTCATCGGCTCCTTTGTCGAAGATGGATCCTTTGTTTGCTTTAACCTTAATAGTAAACAATAAATAAAATTCTTTTAGTAGGTGCTCTTGTCAGTCATCTTTGCTGCACTTTCAGTTAAGTTTGTACTCAACTGATGTTATTATTATTTTTTTGCTAAAAATGGAATTGCAGATGAAACAAGTATCAATGGCCATTGATTTATCAAATAAAAATGGGAATGTACATGTTCCTAGTTTCTATACATATTGTAAGTATTAAACAATAGTCTATCACAAAACGGATTATAAAATACTAAACAATACTTTTTACAATTATGCGCCTTCAATTGATTACAGTTAAATATATTGAGAACACCGAGAGATAAAACGTGCAGACTTCCAAATGTTCACTTTGCTTGCATTGTATGGGTGACCAATAATAATTAATTATAATCAATCTAGTTTGAAATCTCATAGTGTAACCTTTTCATCATATTTTGCATACTCTTACGCTAATTGCGTTGTTTTCTCTTTATACATCACAATTTTTCTTCTTCTTTAACTTCTGTTTGCGTTTCCTATGATACAGGTGCTGACATCCATAGATTTCGGTTCCGATGATGCTTCTTCTTCCGAACCGATCGGATCAAGCCCGGCTAGAAGCGTTCAATTTTGGTGAACAGATAATTTTATAACTGTCATTTCTTGTCGCTATCCATTTTGCTCTTGTCGAGCGAGGACGTCACCATGCTGCCACCGTTGCCCGGGTACATCTTGTCCATGTGCTTGATGGACTCGTTCAGGAAGTTCTATTGAGAAGAAGATGAGGGGGATTAGTTTAGTGTGTACTAGTTTTCCTTTGAAGATGGGCTTACTTGGATGGCTGTCAGCGCTGCCACAATGGCGGGCGATCCGAACCCATGGGATATGAGCGAAAAATGTGTTAGGTGTCGCTGAATCGATGGATCCAGAATATGCTGTGGCCGCGTGTTGCATAGAGGAGAACGATCCTGGTTGAGCAGGTCCATGAGTTCTTTTGTAATCTGAAAAAGGTTTATGATTTTTTCATTAGTCCCAAATGTCCGAAATGACAGTTATAAAATGTGTTGCTAGAATAGCCGTACCTGTTTCGTATTGAGCAGCAGCTCTTTCCGTCTGTAGGATTCCTGCGGTTCCGAGTACTGTCGGGAAAGATATTCGGCCACTTGCCGGGCAGGAAATTCCGTCTCACAGACGTAGCCAAAGTCACGTGCCAAATGGATGGCTTCGCCTTCCACCAGCGACGTGAGCAGCGTGACATTTGCCGCCTTGCGTCGTCCCGCCGGCAAATTCAAACCGATTTTCTCCAACTTTTCCCTTAGCAACCGGCCGCCGTTTTTACTCTTTGCCCTGTAAGGAGAGAAAAAGCGACGGATAATTATCGTGCTTTCGCTACAGTTGGTCTAATTTGGCATTGACGCGCCTGGCAACAGAATCCTGATAGTAATTAGTGAAATGTTAATGAGCGAGTGGGAAAAGCGAAAAAGCTCACCGTCTGAGAACTCCACCGAGAAGCGACGCGTTGAGACACTCGGGAGGCGCCAGGCGGCGCTGCACTTCTGCCACCGTAACTTTGTATTTCGAGGTGCTGGAGAGGAGACTGAGCCGGCCGGGCACGGAACAGAACACGTCCGACGGGGAACCGAGGTTCATTTGGCTGCTGTCTTTCTTAATGTCGGTGATGGGGAAATCTGAAAGTTTGAATTTTTTTTTGAAATTATTAAAATTTTCGAATATTGGCAAGAAGTGTAACTGTTAGTTCATGAAATGTCATGTTCAATATTGATAGTCATCTTTATAAATGGTGTAATGTTTTAAGTTGGTTGGTTGTACCACAATCAATACGAAACTATCGATTTTAAATTGGCTCACTACTTGACTAGCCTATTGGTCCCAAGCAAATCGGTTAACGTACCCCATTCTAGTCGAAATTCTAGTACTACACAATGTTTGTTTTGATTTGCCATGCAAGTTTGACAGATAAAATGAGGGGTTCGTGGATTTTCCTATGTTTCGAGGGGTGTATCGATTAGCTTGGGATCGAAGATAGTACCAGAGCTGATCCAAAAAGTTGAGCACTTTTCTTCGGGACCTTCTGGTCTTAGAGTTACCTCTATGGTTGTACTACAATAGAGGTAACTCTAAGACCAGCTCTGGTACTATCTTCGGTCCCAAGCGAATCGATGCACCCCTCGAAACATAGGAAAATCCACGAACCCCTCATTTCATCCGTCAAACTTTCATAGCGAATCAAAACAAACATAGTGTAGTACTTGAATTTATACTAGAATGGGATACGTTAATCGATTTGCTTGGGACCAATAGGCTAGTCAAGTAGTGAGTCAATTTTAAATCGTTAGTTTCGTATTGATTGTTGGTACTGCTTTATATGTCTGTCAATGGTATAATGAACGGATGGGAGATTTGTAAAAAAAATATGTTTTATGATGTCCCAATTACATGAGTTTTCGAGTAAACGAATAATTCTGAATATGTGCAATTTTTTCTCTATAATTCGCCAAACTTCACAATTATAACAATGCTTTATGGCAGTGGGCTTCAACCTTTTTCGTTCCAAAAAGTAGTGTACATTTCTGTCACTATGATGCACATAAAGGGAGCGTCATATATCATACAAGTTTACATTATTGATCGTGTAAATTTAAGAGACATTGCATGAAATATTCCAAATATTGTATGCAACCATCCATCTTTCTAAGCAAAATTTCTTGCAAGTTGCTATTTTACGTGAAAGAAAGTTTACATGTATGAATCTTTGCATGCCTTAGATGTTTACATCTTTGTTCAAATTAAAAAAAAATCTGTATAAGTGATGTCAAGTAAATATGATTTCCAGTTAATTTTTTTCGTAATAGTGCTCATTGCAAGACAGCTATATCAACAATCAATACGAAACTAACGATTTTAAATTGGCTCACCACTTTGGTAGCCTATTGGTCCCAAGCAAACGATTAACGTACCCTATTCTAGTTGAAATTCTATTACTACACTATGTTTGTTTTGATTCGCTGTCTATTGTATTATTTTCAAATAAATCTTTCGCGGAAAAATCATTTTGTAGCTCAAATAGTTCACCCTAAAATATAATAAAGCTAACCTGACCTACACACTGAATTCAGATCACCGAAGTCGTTAAAATTCTATCAAGTTTTTAAACAGCTGAAAAAGTTGCTAACATTTTAAATTACCGTTACACGTAAGAAAACAATAGAATCAAATATTTTTTAATGTTTTATCATTAAATGGGGTTAACTGAACAAAGTCTGTACAAGTTAGTAGTTCGAAAACTTACCAGACAGTGGAGGCCTGGATTAGTGTGTACACACTTAGAAATAACTACTTTTACGCGAGACGTAATTCGTATTAGACGTAAATCCTGAAACTTAAACGAACATTTCAATTACAAATTTAGTGTTCTCAAACCAAAACATAAGCAACTCGACGAATTTATTTTCTCGTTTCTTACAACTAATTCTTATGTCAAAAATGCAACTTACATGTGTTGTTCTCAGGGACAGAGCTGGTAAATATCACGGCCGTCATATGACAGTCAGAAAACAGGTCTTCTCACTATCACGAGACGAAACGACCGACCATTAGCTTTCTTGTCATTTCCCAATGATCAAGCACTCATGAGAATAATTCTTATGCAGTTTTAACATCAACATTTCTAACTGATTTAGATGAATTTAAGCAAGTAACCATATGTAATCGGTAGAGTGAACATATTTTTATGATTTCCTTGGTATAAGTAGTGACAGAAGTATCTCTGTAAATATCGCGTGAGATCTATGATTGAAAATGACATTTGCCAGCCCTGCTCAGGGAACCGAAATTTACATGACTTTTCGGTAGCGTGTAGCCTTACCCTACAATTGATCGGGAACCTAAAATTCTGGTTTGGGAATTCATAAACACAAGTAACTTTCTACAATGGCAGTTGGAAATGGTTACGTACGGAATCCAAGGAAAGTGACTCTAGCTAAGCTCAAGGGGTGATTTTGCTTTGGTATCCTGAGCTGCATGCACGTTGAGTAGGTAGAAAGAAGATGTATGTAGATATGGAAGATTTCCTACAAAAGGATGCAACATGGTGGATATCGATGCAGGAAATTGTAGAAATTTTTTCGCAGGTTGATACACATGATTGACATTTTAAATTGAGTATCTGAGCATCTAATAGGCTACTATTATTCCATATCTCTGGGAGATGACTGTACTAACATTTAATATATTCTCACTCATAATTACCCCCTAAGATGGCAGTGAATTCCCCCCGGTTGAAAACCACTGCCTTATGGTTTTCATCACACCTTCCGCCGTGAATCGGCATCGCTTTTTGTATAGGTATAGAATAACAAAAAATACACAAACAACTTCAGAATATGACACCTCATCGGGTGCGACTCCCTCTGTATGGACCCATCACATTTTTTTTTACTCTCAAATAAAATTCCGATTCGCAACAATGCTTATTATTTATGTACCGCCTTTGCCAAAAAAAAATACAACAAAAACAAGAAAACATCACAGTAGACTGGCAGGAGGAAAAACATCAATGCTCGGCCTGCTGCTGTGTTGAGAACGGGGGAGCTTCAGATTACAATACTCCTTTGTGTGAGCGCGCTCTTTAACAACTTTTTGCTCTCTCTCTCTCGCTTTCTGAGTCTCATCTGGCTAATAATCGGATCTCCCTCTGTGATTTACCCTCATCCGTCCGTCATCGTCGTAACAAATGAAACTATACGAGACGGTGAGATGTCTCTATAGGTATGTTGAATGAAACCCGGACCGACATTGATGAAAAGTTCCACCATTAATTAGCACCTCTTTTTCTTAGTTTGCCGAGCTGCATCTTGACACTGACGGTTTGGGATATTTTGTCCAGAGTTGATCGTCACCATCATCGCTTATCGCAATCGCGTGCACTGCTCCGATGCGACAGATGAAGATTAACATGTCCAACTCAAACCCGGCCGGACGACGACAGAGTCGGTGCAGCGATCTTATCGGTTGGCTAGATCAAGTTTCGAGGTGGGATTCAGTTGCTTCTTCCCTCATAGGAGGTTATGTTTGATGATACACGGCGGTGATGATCACTTCCACAGCTCTTTTACCAGTAGTTGACAATATCAGTATGCTAATGAGATCTCCTCTTCTATCTTTCTGTTTTGGGTCGTGAGTTGCGTGCTTCGACGACCGAAAGCAAACAAGATGAAGATGGGGCCCATTGGAATCGTTTATAATCCCATTATAACGATAACTTCCTCACTTATGGCGGGGTGGTTGAGTGCTATGAGGTGATGTCTCTCCTCATTTCCCATATCGAGGAGGTGGTAGAAGAACTTCGCGGGGGAGAAAAAAGTGGATGTTGCCTTTTTCGAGGCACGGATTCATTCATGGATTTGCCGGATTTACAGCGATATGTACCACCACCCGGACAAAATGTCAGGTTAGCGTACCTAAATAAGTTGCAAATGGGTCTGCTTGTCACCTTCGTTATTTTTTGTAGTTGTTGCGGCACTAGAGTATGTGAAACAGTAACAGAAATTGGTCAGTGGGGATTGTCCTGTTGGATATGGTAAGTGATCTTTTTTTTTTGTATCGCCGAGGAATGTTGGATAATCGAAACAGTTGGAAGGAAAGGAACGTTTCCTGAATGTTACAAACTATGTATTGCTCTTGCTGCTCTAATTCAGGCTGTGCGTTTTCGTAACATTTTGCTCCATTCTTTGTAGGACAACATTTCAACGACGCACAAAAATACAAATTTTCGATGTCTTATGGGGTGTTTTATGCTATTTCACTAGCGCTAATGAGCAAGATGCTAGCAAAAAAAAAGCTCCCCAGCATAATGTAAGCAGGGCATAAGCGTCTACCAGCATGAAATTTCAGGAGCAACTGAAATTCGTGCTAGTTGGCGAGTACACTAGCGCGAGTAAATCCGCACAGATGTAAACACCCCATTAACCCAAAATTTACGAACATAAAGGGTGCCCACGATAAAAATAACCTATCTGAAAAACTAAAAATCATACCTTCAATAAAACACCCGCACCTCCTTCTTCACCCCTTCCCACAGAACAACATGATTTTTTTCTGCATTATCTCCTGTGATTTTTTGTTTTAATTCTAAACGGGTTTTAACTCATCTCGGCACAAGCCAAAAGTAAATAAAACGGGTCAAAATAGTTTGCATTTTCTTCTGTGCAATTCGTTTTTTTCCAATAGATTTCAACCCAAAAGCAAGTTAGTTATACCCAAAAGTAGGTAAATATGAGTATACCTAACGTTGGGTTCCCACCAGTGCTGAGATTCGTCATTGTCATTGACGGACTTTCGCGCGATATTGACAAAATTGTTTTTCACATAGTCAGTGATAGACTTGATCCTCAAAAAAACCTTCGTCAAAATCTCATTAATTTTTTAGTCAATGACAAAGATTCACCTGGTAACAAAAAGTGTAATTTCGTGCATTCTGTGTCACATAATTGGGCTGTTTAACTACGAAAAATATACCGATTTTTTTACATCATCTGATAGAGCTTCGTTTTCTGAGCACAACGATATTTTTATCGATTCCGTAGACATTCATCTCTAAAAATCTGCACATGTTCATCACTGACAGAATTGACATGGTTTCTCGAAAAAAAAATGACGGTGACTGTTA